AACCCTAAACCCTAAACCCTAAACACTACGGTTCAGAGTCTAGCCTTTGGGAGCCGAATTGGGCAAAGCTCCACATACCCCCGAACTTGGGAGCCCAGTAACCATATTACAACAAGGGCACCCTTTTGTGGTTGGTTACTTTACAAGGGAACCCAGAAACCAAAAAAGGGTACAGGGTACCACTGGGCTACCGAAACCCCGAAAAAACAACTAAGCCCTAAACCCTAAACCCTAAACCCAAAACCCAAAACCCTAAACCCTAAACCCTAAACCCTAAACACCTGAAAATCGGTGCTTGGAGGTGCCCAGCCTGCGCCATACTGCCCGCCGAGACGACACCTTGGCAAACCCCACAAGCCCGAACATCCCGAAGCGAAGGAAGGGCTTAGAGTTTAGGGTTTAGGGTTTAGGGTTTTAGAGTTTAGGGGGCGAAGCAACGATGAGATGTGATCAGTTCTCAAAATGCTGGTCCCTTGTTGGGCCCTCAACAAGGGGGGCCCCAAACCTTGAGAACCAAATGAACCCTAAAAGAGTTTATGGTTCACATACCCTAGCAAGGATTATAGTAAACCCTAAACCCTAAACCCTAAACCCTAAACCCTTTAAACCCTAAACCCTGGTCCCAATTTTAGGGTTCCTTTGGTTCCCAAGGAAACGGCACCGTGTGTTTCCTTGAATGGTCGGCCCAGCCACACTCAACAGCACCTCGTAGTCTCCTAGACATGCCAAAAGCTCCAGAGCAACGTAGAGTTAGGGTTTAGGGTTTAGGGTTTAGGGTTTAGGGTTTAGGGTTTAGGGTTTAGGGTTTAGGGTTTAGGGTTTAGGGTTTAGGGTTTAGGGTTTAGGGTGAGTTCGGATCTCAGGGTAGCTGCAGAGTCCCCTAGCCCTAGTCTGGGCCCCATACATGGGAACCCCTTCTATACCCCTTAGAGACCCCAAAAAAGCCAAGGGCCCCATGCTTCAGAACACCCTTCTCAAGAAGGTCAGGAACCATCGTAACGGGCCATGTGGCTACCCTAAGTTCATGGTACTTACTAACCAGCTATAACTGTACTTACAGTATAACCCACTTATAAGCCCTAATATGGTTATGAGTACAGCTATAGGTGCAGCTACAATTGGTTAAAAAGTACCATGAACCCCGAAGATAGGAGGGAGGGGTCCGAGGCCAAGCTCCCACGCGCACTTGCCATGACGGCGAGTGAAGTCGAGTGATTTGGCACCCAAAGTGTGCAGAGAGTTTAGGTTGCTGCGCTTCCTGTGTCCTTGCCGCTTGGCCGCTCAGCTCTCACCAGAATTGGCACTATGATCCCTACATTGTCCCTATGTTAAGGAAGAATACTTTTAAGTGATTTTTTGGGGCGGTTCTTCAGCAATTGGTAGCTAGACTCTCTTACTACCTGTCTGAACGCCACGCGAGCCGATGGAAGGGTTCATGCAGGCTCGCCAGGAGCCCATGGTCATGGTGGCCTTGAGCCCATGGCGCGGGCGATGGAAGCAGCACTCCTTGCACCCTTTTTGGTTTTAAGGGGATTCTATAAGGGAACTCCCCCAACCCCCCCAAAAAAAGGAAATGAGGGCCTACTCCGGGTCCTAGACTCAGGAGCTTCAGCCTCAAAAACTCCAAAAAAACCCACAGCCCAAACTTCAGAAAATCTCGCGGGTTCGATCCTCTGCCGCGCTGAAGCTGGGGGCCTCTTGGGCCTTTAGGCTTGCCCAACCCGACGTAAGACATCCTAATCCCCAAGCGCAATGTCTAGCCACCCACCTAAACCCTTAACAAAAACCCGAAAAATATCCCCAAGCGCCCCGAAAGCGCAAAAAGACCTATGAGGGCCCTGAGACCCAAGAAATCCTTTCAACGCCATAGGAACTCTACGGGGCCCTAAACCCTAAACTCCCTAAACCCCAAGGCACATCTGAAGTTGGTTTAGGGTTTGGGGTTTAGGGTTCAGGGTTCAGGGTTCAGGGTTTAGGGTTTAGGGTTTAGGGTTTAGGGTTTAGGGTTTAGGGTTTAGGGTTTAGGGTTTAGGGTTTAAGGTTTAGGGCTTAGGGTTTAGGGTTTAGGGTTTAGGGTTTGGGGTTTAGGGTTTAGGGTTTAGGGTTCCACGTCCAAGCCTTGCCCTTCTCCGTCGGCTCGGATCTGGCAAGCTGCCTGTCCTCGGGCCCCCCCTTCTCTTGAAGGGTTTAGGGTTTAGGGTTTAGGGTTTAGGGTTTAGGGTTTAGGGTTTAGGGTTTAGGGTTTAGCGTTTAGGGTGTAGGGTTTAGGCTTTAGGGTTCAGGGTTCAGGGTTTAGGGTTCAGGGTTGAGTTTTTTTTTTTGGGTTTAGGGTGTAAGATTAAAGGGAGACTTGAAAAGTGCCTGTAAATAAAGGGTTCTTGAGAAGGCCCTTTGGATATTTCAGGGGCCAAATGGCACGTTTAAAGGAAGTTTAGCACTAGATCCTGCAAAAGGAGAAGAAATCGTAACAAACCGCGGCTGATCTGACTTGACTCGGTGGGCAAAGTTAGTTTGGAACACGTAAAGCCAAAGGAGATTCTACGAAAAGAACCTGAGCCTGAAGGCATGGCCATTGTCATCTTACCCCAAACCCCAAACCCCCAAACCGCTCCCCTTCTTTGCAGCCCCCTGAACCCTCAACCCTCAACCCTCAACCCTCAACCCTAAACCCTAAACCCTAAACCCTAAACCTAAACCCTAAACCCTAAACCCTAAACCCCACACCATAAACCCTAAACCCTAAACCCTAGACCCTAAACCCTCGCTGATCTCTCCTTCTGCCAGTACTTGCTCAGGAGCTGTGGCACCAGGGCCGTGCCCTGGACCAGGGTCTACTATAGGCGCCTTCATAATTAGAACAGGGTTTTGGGGGTTAGGGTTTAGGGTTTTGGGGGTTCTTCTAGTATAGCTATAAAGGGATAATAAGGGAATACTATTCGTAATTATTCCGACCCCCATAGTAAGCTTTAGGCAAGTGTTGACAGCTTGGGTTTAGGGCAAAGTTGCCAGTCCTAGTTCACGGGAACGGGCATCAACCTGGCTTCGGAGAGTTGATAGGCATGCTAGGACATAGTGTTGATCGTCACTTGCACCGTTCATTAAAGTAAAAGCATGGCCCGAAACCGTCGAGGTCTTGGCATTCATGCGACAATTCGGGTCATCTGGCTGTGGAGGTGAGTTGTGTGCGGTTTCCACTAGAAGACGTGTCTAAGTTGTCTAAGGCTTGGTGGAAGGACCGGCTTGCCCCGAAGCCTCAAGCGCGTGCAGGCACGGGCAAGGGCCTCGCAGTCGAAGGCAAAGACCACCCGAAGGCGGTTCGATCTCTCCGTCAGGTTCCTGGGCTTTAGGGTTTAGGGTTTAGGGTTAGGGCTTAGGGCTTAGGGCTTAGGGTTTAGGGTTTAGGGTTTAGGGTTTAGGGTTAGGGTAGAGGGCTTAGGGCTTAGGGCTTAGGGTTTTGGGCTGAGCTTGTCTGAGCTTCGGCTCCCCTCGGCAGACCGCACTTTTCTGCGAATGCAGGTTCCAAAGTTCGGACTCCGGACCTTAAACTACTGTTTGCTTAAGAACCCCAAAAGAATAACAAAGAGAAATCCCTATATTACCCTTATCAGGAAGAATATTCTATATTTTTTGGGAGGCTCTTAAGCAACTCATAGGAAACTCCCAATGCCCAAAGCCCGCCCCGCCATGCTTCTGGACGTTGCATCGGTGAGAGCCCTCGTGTTGTTTGTCAGCTTGCGCACCGGCTGCAACCCTAAACCCTAAACCCTAAACCCTAAACCCTAAACCCTAAACCCTAAACCCCAAACCCATGGAAGCCATTCAGGCACTCCTTGAAGGGAGCGTTAGTTTCGGCGACCGAGGCCCCGGACCCCAAGACGAAGGACAGCCGCAGCGTTAGGGCCGCGGAGTCCATGTTGTTACTGGCACACAGGGGGGGGGAGGGTTTAGGGTTCAGGGTTTAGGGTTTAGGGTTTAGGGTTTAGGGTTTAGGGTTTAGGGTTTAGGGTTTGGGGTTTGGGGTTTGGGGTTTGGGGTGTAGGGCTTAGGGCTTAGGGCTTAGGGCTTAGGGCTTAGGGTTTAGGGTTTCTGAGGCGTTTAGGGTTTGGGGTTTCTGAGGCACCCTGTAACTCCGGCAATGCAACTCCAGATCCTTTAAGACCCTAAGCCCCAACAACCCTGAGACTGGGCAGGAACCCTTGCTTTCGATCGGGGACCCCTCCAGTTCACGACGCCGTCAGCAGAGCCTCAACTACTAAACACTAAACCCTAACTCTAACCCTAAACTCTAAACCCTTGCATCACATGTCCCCGGCTCAGGCCCAACAGCCTTGCCCACATCCTTACCAGAAAGACCTGGATGCCCTAAGCCTGAAAGATGTGAGGCGTGTTGCGTCCCAGGTGCAGGGCAAAGGGTCAACCGCCAAAAGGGCTTCCCGAGTAAACTTAGTTGCTGAGTTCATAACCCCACCCCCCCCCCCCCCCCAAAAAAAAAAAAAAAAAGGAACAAAAAACTAAAACAAGTGTACACTTTCAGGTCTATAGGGGATTATTATCGCATCCCCAAAAGGTGTAAAGTGCACTCATTTGGCTACTAGTCAACCCTTGACAAGGGCCTCACGGTCCGTGCGATCTGCCGGATATGGAGGTCCGACTTGGCCATGGCCTAGCCAGACTTGGCCATGGCCTAACCACAACTCACATGGCTTTAGGGTTTAGGGTTTGGGGTTTGGGGTTTACGGTTTAGGGTTTAGGGTTTCCCCTAACCGCAAGCCCTAAACCCTAAACTAAACCCTAGGCCCTAAGCCCTAAACCCAAAACCCTCAACCGTAAGCCCTAAACCCTCAACCCTGAGCCCCAATTCTGAACCCCAAACCCCAAACCCCAAACCCCAAACCCCAAACCCCAAACCCCAAACCCCAAACCCCAAACCCCAAACCCCAAACCCCAAACCCCAAACCCTAAACCCTAAACCCTAAACCCGAAGCTTGCGCTCTTTCTCCTCACAACTCCAGATTGTCCGACTCGCCCCGCCGCACCTCCTGGGAGCCTCAGTTGATAGTAAACCATCCTATACCACTAGTTGCTTTAGGGCTTAGGGTTTAGGGTTTAGGGTTTAGGGTTTAGGGTTTAGCCTTTTTTCATCTTTTCTTTTTCGGGGGGGGGGGGGTGTTCTTAAGCAAACCTTGGTATAAGGCCGAGTACATAAAGCCCAGAAGTGCACTCCCTTCGCTTCAACCTTACTTCTACGGTGGAGTTTAGGGTTTAGGGTTTAGGGTTTAGGGTTTAGGGTTTAGGGTTTAGGGTTTAGGGTTTAGGGCTTAGGGTTGAAGATTTGGGTCGCTAAGGATTCCAGGGGTAGGGTTTCTGGCTGGTGGCTCAGGGGTTAAGAGGCAGGTCAGATCCAAGCCCGCAGCTGAAAACAAATTCTCAACACCAACATCGTGCTCTGAAGAAACGAAGAATACCACATCCCAGGCCCAACACCTCAGAATTCGAAACTTTTCTGTTGGGGCTGTTGGGGCTTAGGGCTTACAGCGGGTGCCTGTTTTTCTCTTCACTTCAGATCTACCATTAATCTAGAGATGTCTTCTGACAGCCGGCGCGCCAAAAATCAATCCGACTTCTCCCTAAAAGCTTCTCAACAGGCCCAGAGACCCTCAATTGCGAGTCCGAGCTCCAAACGTTGGGATGTTCCCCTTTACACTAACAGTCCTTCATCTCTATTGCGGACTGTTAGAAAAAGGGGGAAGATCCCAATCCAAACGTTTTGAACCCCAAAGTTGCTCTTTCCTTCGAGCTCGGCTTGTGGCCTCAAGCGGGAGGTCGGAAGCGCTCTTCCCTCCACGCGGATGCGCTGGGATTTTCTTCTGCAGCTTTAGATCTATAGGCGCTTCAGGGGTTTAGGACTAGGGTTTGAGGGGTTTTCTTGATTTACAGTTTCGGGTGGGAGGTGGGAGAAGGATGTCATGTTTAGGATTTCGATGGCTTGAGGACTTAGGAGGATGGGACTTCATGTGGGTGCTGGTTTGAGGGCACAAGTTTCGAAGGCATGGCTCTTGGACTCTTGGTGGCTTTGGCGTGGGAAGCCTCAGCCCTAAGCTAGGGTTGCACAGCCCAGCTGGAGCGTGAGACTATGCAGCTCCCCTTTTGGGAGCTGCAACACGTCTCCTGATCCCAGGGCCATGGCCCAAAAAAATGCCCAACCTCTAAACCCTCGGGGGGCCTTTCAGGACGGAAGGCCCTTCAAGTGGAGCAGCATTCCCGGGTCGCCGGTGCAGGGGGCAAACTTGGCAATCAACTGCGTCTTCTGCTCGGCCGAGCACCTGGGGGACGAAATGAACCCTAACACTGGGGTCATATACCCTATACTACTATAATTCCTATTAGACCCTACCTAAACCCTAAACCGTAAACCCTAAACCCTAAACCCTAAACCCTAAACCCTGAACCCTATTAGGGTTCATTTGATCCCCAAGGCACCCAGCGAAGTGCAGGATCGGATCGCCCCGGAGCAGTGCCAGATCCCCGCCGCCACGGGGCCATTCGTAAGCATTCAGCCTCAACTTAAGGGGTTAAGACGCGTACCTTTAAGGTTGCACCCCTAAGGGTTTCCCTGAATATGCTCCGAGTATGGCCTTTAAATTCGCTTTGCGAGTCTTTTAAAGAAGGGCCCCAAACCCAAGGTATTTAAGGGTTCCCTTTTGATCAACTGCTTCTTCGTTTTTTGGTGGACAAGTCACTGACATGTCTGTCGGAAGGCATAAAACCCAGAGAGACCACAAAGCCGCTTGGAATCCCCAACCCAACGCCTGAGACATGATCAATAGCCGGGGAGCAGATGTTGGGGCACAACCTGCACATGCTCTGCAACGTTGGGGGGCAGCAGCCGCGTCATGGCGTGGTGGCATTCCGCAGCACTTCTGGTTGGCACCTCGCCCCCCCCCCCCCCCCAAACCCTCGGCCCTCATCAACTTCCCCAATCCATCCTGGAGCGTTTAAGGCTCTTTAAGACCAGTGAAGAGCTGCCAGCACAGCACCCCCCCCCCTTCCCACAGGCAGCATCAGGCAGCCTTCATGCGGGTGAAGGCCGTTCGCCAGGTGCCCGGCTCCTGTGCCGAGCCACCGCCCAGAAGGATCATCATGGCACCGTTGTCCTCCCAATCCTTGGCTTGCTTTGTATCTTGAAGACCCTAAACCCTAAACCCTAAACCCTAAACCCTAAACCCTAAACCCTAAACCCTAAACCCTAAACCCTAAACCCTAAACCCTAAACCCTAAACCCTTGAGCCCCTTGAGCTCCTTGAGCCTCTTGAGACCCAGGAAGCTTGGCTGCACTTAGCAGGGTAGCACTATAAACTTAAAATTTTAGCTGCCCTACTAGGAAACCCAAGAAACCCAAAAAAGGCTAAGGATCTAAAGTTACAGTAAAGCACCACAAACTACGAATTGCTTAAGGACCCGGAAAAAATAAAAATAGTCTTCCTTATTAAGGTTAATATAGGGATTATTATGTTTTATTCTTTTGGGATTCTTAAGCAAACAGTAGCAAAGGAAGAAGCCCCTGGAGCCCCCTGGAGCCCTTGGAGGGTTTAGGGTTTAGGGTTTAGGGTTTATGCAATCGGTCATGCGGACTGTCACGAAGCGAGACACTTGGCGACTAAACGGATAGGGTTTAGGGTTTAGGGTTTAGGGTTAGGGTTAAGGGTTAAGGGTTAAGGGTTAAGGGTTAAGGGTTAAGGGTTAAGGGTTAAGGGTTAAGGGTTAAGGGTTAAGGGTTAAGGGTTAAGGGTTAAGGGTTAAGGCTTAAGGCTTAAGGCTTAAGGGTTAAGGGTTAAGGGTTAAGGGTTAAGGGTTAAGGGTTAAGGGTTAAGGGTTAAGGGTTTAGGGTTTAGGGTTTAGGGTTTAGGGTTTAGCCCAGCGGCCGGCCACGGATGGATGCGAAACGCGTCGCTGAGGAACTGCTCTGCCCACTGGCCCCGCCGGGCCAGGAAGTGGCCCGCATTGAAGACCACGTTCCTTTTGGGGTTTAGGGTTTAGGGTTTGGGGTTTGGGGTTTAGGGTTTAGGGTTTAGGGTTCTCGGGGCTCGGGGCTTCATAGGGGCCTGCTGCCACGACTCCGAAACCACTCAAAACTCCCGAAATGCTTTTGCAGCATGACACTGTGGGTTCGTGAGGTTCTGTGTTGCAGTAAAAAAAAGAAAGAGTGAGAGAGAGAGAGAGAGAGCGCGAGCCGAGGAAGAAGCAACCCCTACCAAACCAAGATTCAGGTCACCTGCGAAGACGAAGTCTTTGCCCAGGTCGCAAGCCCATTGCAAGTCTGCTCCATCAGAGATGAACAAGGAGTCAGCATCCATCCAGAACACAAATTCCGCACCCTGCTTCAGAAGAGAAAGGACATGTGGAAGCTTAGACCAGGTCGGGTCAGCTCTGCCAGCGATGTCCTCCTCCAGGCACGCGTAGGTATAGCCGTGCAGTGCACACCATCGCTCGTGATTTCGACGCGCAGGGAGCATGGTCTGTGCAAACTCCTTTCCTGCAAAGAGGGAGGCAACCACCACCCGCGCGCGAGGCTGCGGCAGCTGTCGCGGAATCGTGCCCTGAACAGCCGCAGCCAGGGCAAACCCCGGCTCCCGCTGCAACAGCAGGCCGACCTCCCACCTGAGCTGCTGAAAGCGCCCCTCTTGCTGAAGCAACCCCCAGCGCTGCGCCAGGCACTTGGCGGCCCCCGGGTTCTGGGCAAAGGCCCCAGCAGGAAGCGCCACGCCCTCCCTGTGGGGCGCGCGCTGCGCGGACTTCCGCGCCGCGGCAGGCCATGCCAAGCACCGCGGCTGGCGACATTCAGCGCTGTGCTTCAGACGTCCTCTGCTGACCCGAGCTGCCCCCCATGGCCAAACCCAGTTGCAGCTCATGGCAGGCTTTTCGGGGATTCAGCATGTCTGGCCCTACTGAGCTGCCAAAGGCGTCATCGACTCGCAACATGTGCTTGCTTATTGCTCTGGTTCCTTTTGAGCTCCTTGTTGATCTATAGCGACTCTGTGAGTGCCGAGAAGGTGCCGGCACTTGTTCTTTCATGTTCTTTCAGCGTGCGCATGCACAACATTTCGGGTCCAACAGAGTCCACAACCTCGCCACTCGCTCAGCCGAATATTCGTTGGGATCATGGGCCTGCATTGTGCATAGGGCCCGGGCCAGCCTAAGCCTTACAGTGATTACAGTAGCAAAAGCTTGAGAACTCGGATGCCTGATCAACTTGATTGAAATTCCGCACTTCGCTTGGCTTTCCCATCCCAGTAACCAGCTCTGCACCCCTGCCACCATTCAACCCAAACACCCTACGCCAGCCCCGAAGTCCTCTCCAAGCCGTCAAGACCTTGCGGCCATGAGCACCCTGTTGACCCGAAGGAGCAATCTCACGGAGTTGCACGGCCTCAGGTTACGAGCGTCTGAGCTTCAGAGGTGGTTGGGCTTCCGGGCTCATGCAGTGAGCAACACAGCGCCACCATGCACAACAAAACCGCACGTGTCCCGCGACAGCCCCAAACTCACCCCTTCAGCCTAACAGCCCCACGTCTTCGCTGCGGTTCAGGGGTTCAAGTAGCACCCCTTCATGGTAGGCGAGGGTCGAAGTTCCTGACTGCCCGAAACCCTGAGCCCTGGGATGGTTACGAGGCGTGGGCCGCGGTGAAGGAGATCAGCGAGCGCAGCCGCTGCCTGCCCTGTTTGAGGCTGTAGAAGGTATTTAGGGGCCCCTTCGGCTCACCATCGTTCGTAGGTTTGAGGGTTCCTTGTTTGGGTTTCGAGCCTTTTGGGGCCTGAGGGGCCTTCAGGGCTTTAGTGGAGGCGGGGGTTGAAGATGCGCGTAATGACATCGCCTCATCCGTCCTGAAGGCATCGGAACTCTAGACCCAAAACATGAACCTTTTTCGGCGAAGGTGTCTACTAAAACACCACCCCCCCCCCCGCTCTGCCCCCCACCCACCCCCACTCAGAATTGGGAGGGCTTGGGTTTACAGCTGAGGGCTTTGAGGGCTTTGCGCTTATGAGCTGCTGAGAGCCTACACTACAGCACATCTCCTGTTCGCCAGAGCCGCCCGACGGCGGCGCGAGCGGCAGGCCAGAGTGGTAGAGCCTTGGCGGACGGTTTGGGCAAGGCTTGTGGGTCAAGGGTACGGGTATATCGTGCTTATAGGCGAACTAGAAGGAACCCTACCTGAACCATAACTTCTGAGACTCGCAAGCTCTTCCACTTATCATGCTGACGAAAAGCTTTCCTCTCAAGGAAGCCAGCAGGGCTTGAGCAACACTCTGGGGTCTCCAAATTCAGTAGCCAGAAGGATCACAAACAGCTTGCTCATCCCATTCAAAATCTATGTAGTGGTTCACAAAAGCTCGGCTCCCCAAATTGCCCTCGGCTTTCGCATTGCACGACAGTGCGGGCTTCAGGCTTCAGGGTTTTCGTGTAAGTTCAGAACCCTGAGCCCTAAGCCCTAACCCTACGCCCTAAACCCTAAGCCCTAAGCCCACCCCCGAAGCCCTAAAAAAACGAAACCGGCCTAAGCTCCAAACCTTCGAACCCACCTCAAACAAAAAACGACATCTCGACATCTTCCACAAAGAGAAGTGTACATTTACAGAAATCCCTGCAGGGACCCCCACACCCTCAAAGCACGGAGCATCCCCGATGCAATCCGTCGAGAGGCCAAGCCGGATACAAGAGCAAGCTGCCAGCTCGAACCCAAACCTTTTGTGCCTGGCTGAAGGCTTTGAGTTCGGAGGGCCTTCAGGGTTTATGGGTTTAGGGTTTAGGGTTCAGGGTTTAGGGTTTCGGGTTTAGGGTTGAGATCTGCGCTGCAACCCTCCCCCCCCCCCCCCGGTTTAGTCTTAAAAAGGCTTTCTGCCTTGAAGCCTCAGCATCCCGGGGTGAAGTTGGAATCGCGCTTTCGCCAAAGGATATGGTTGCTTGCTCACTGAATCATGCTGGCCGAAAAACGCCAAAGAGCCAATTCCACATGTGCAAGAACAAATGTTGCATCAACTTTTGCCAACTTTGAAGATTGGAAGAGCTGAACTTCTGTTGCAACTTTATTGCTCATGGTATCAAAGCGGACATGACCCCCGATGAGGACTGCGTAATATTCCAAAACTTGGAACTTTGGCTGACCTGTTGTTGGTCGCCTTGAGTGCAGAAGCGTAACAACATGCTCGCGAAATTAGATCAGCTATGCAATGCTATGCACATATATTGATGCATATATGTGTACATTTACTGACTGATTTTTTTGGGTTTTCGCTCACACAGCAAAGCAGCAAGCGGCAAAACTCGCAACTCTTCCCTCAACGTTTCCAACAAGACTGGCAGACTGACACCCTAAACACTAAACCCTAATTAAACCCTAAACCCTAAACCCTAAACCCTAAACCGCTCTACAACCCGAAACCCTAACGCCCTTCCCATCTCCCCCGGCCTCACCCCATCCCAGCTTCTTCCGAAGGGCCCTTGGGGCAACGCAACTCCGGAGTCTTGGGCCGCAGGCGTCTCTCCATAAGCTAGATTTGAGGGTTTTGGAGATTCCCTAAACCCTAAACCCTAAACCCTAAACCCTCAACCCTCAACCCTAAACCGATTGTTCAGACCCCCGGAAGAGTCATCTTCAGGGCTTCTTGCCGTGACTTTGCAAGAGAACGTGCCTGGGCTGTCTCGGACAGAAGCAGAATGTGTGCTGGGGTCTGTGTGTTAGCAGGCCCAACATACTTAAAGATGCCTCGCGCGCTTGTGGTCCTGGCATGTTTGCTTCATTTGCACATCTGGCAGAAAGGGCTCAGAACTCAGATGGACCCCTCCTAGGTATGTTGTAGAATAGGCAAATGTAAGGCCTTATGAATCTCATAGACCTGCTGTAAGGGAATGTGAGAAATGTTATTTTCTGTTTGGAATTCGTTTGGGTTCCTGACAGGGAGCTTCAGGGACTTTCTCGCCCGTCTCTGCATGTAGTTTCTCACAGCTACCTTTAGTTCACCCTCCGTTATATGTTTGTTGTTGCTCGCTTCGGCTTTCAGCTCTCCATGCCTCACCTTGGTCTCGCCCTCCGCTTTTGAGTCTGTAAGCGGGCCTTGTGGCATACGGAAGTGTGGATTGCATGAGCCGGTACCCAAAAGGTCCTCAAATTTTTTGATCAGCAGATTGAAATGCTACACGCACATTACTGAGCTGCGCGAGACAACCTGGAGTCGTCGCGGGGAGCCGAAGCCACACAAACTCTTTTCTCAGGGGAAGTCTTGGCATTTTCGGGGAAGTCTTGGAATCTTCGCAGCCTGAGGCGACCCCCGACACCCTCAAAGGCACTTGGCCCTGGCGAACCGCTCTCTGCCAGTTTTGATAGATTATCTGTGGCCTGGAAAGCTGTAGTCGTTACAAGCTCGTCCCTAAACCCTACACACGCTATTCTCCCTCCCCTCGGGCGCGGCACTCGGGAACCTCAGCCAGTCCAGCTGGTGGCCGGGGGTCCTGCTATTTGGAGGCTGCTTCAACGTTTCGGGTTTCAGCTTTGGGGTCCATTCAGGGGATTCAGGAGTTTTGGGAATCAAGTGTCGAAACTCGTTCAGGGTCTGGGGCTGGGGGCTCTTCGAATTACGGGCTTTAAGGGCTCAAGCATGTGAAACATGTTTCAGGCTGCGTTTAGAGGGGTCTCAGCTCCCACTGCAACATGGAGGGTTCGCGGGATGGCCTGAGATTCTGCAGGCTTCGGATGCTGTGTGGGCAGGCCACGTGCTGGCTTTGGACAGAGATTGAAAGCCTCACTGCCCTACAAGTGACCTCAACATGCACGAAGTTATATGCCCGACAACAATCACAAGAAGATTCAAGGATTTTGCGGCAACAAGCACACTTTCATCACTTAAGGCTTGCGGCCTCGAACCTTTCCATCAACGTTGCAAGTCGCAACACATTGCACGACTCGGGTGTATAGCTCAGGTATCGTTTCATGGCAGTGGGGCTGCGCCAAGCAAACGAAGCCCGGCCATGCATGACGCGGTGGCCTTTCGGGGCACGCGGGACCTCATCGGCATGGCCTATTTTTCTGGGGGCGCTGTTGCTTGACAGGGGCCAGTCTCAAAACATGATCGTCTGATCAGCGTAGACTTGACATTAACGTGCGCGAACCAAAACCCTGAACCGCATCCAACACCCCTAAACCGCGGCTTCTGACATGGCACACCTGGAGATAGATGCCGCACTCTTCCGTGTCGTTGCTCTCCTGCATGTCTGCATGCCATTGGGACAGGTGCTTAGGCTTCGAGACGTTTTGGGTGCGACATCAAGGCCGATGCTGAGAGTTAAGGCTGCTGCTCTCTGCCGTTACTTGCTTCAACGCTTGGCGTATCCCAGAGTCGTCCGTCCATGCTTGCTTGGGGGGCTTAGGGGGTTGAAGTTCCGACAACATTAAATATACCCTGGACCCGCCGTTCAACTCGAATGGGTGTGTCGCATGGCCTTTCAAAACACAAAGTCAGCTTGGGAAGGTCACAGGATGTATTTAGGGAAATTGCTTCGGGCTTCGGGGCCCCAAACCCGACACCCCAAACCCTCAAAACCCTGTAAGCCCTATAAGCCCTAAACACCCTAAACCCTAAACCCTAAACCCTAAACCCTGAACACTAAAGTTTGGGCTTCTGGCCTGGAGGCCGCCTCCGCATTCCAGGTAGAAGGCCCCGGACAACGCTGCCTTGGGATGGACGTGCGGCTCCTGGGAGAGGTCTGAGGACTGGAGTTTAGCGTTTAGGGTTTAGGGTTTAGGGTTTAGGGTTTAGGGTTTAGGGTTGAGGGTTGAGGGTTGAGGGTTTGGGGTTTAGGGTTTGGGGTTTAGGGTTTGGGGTTAGGGGTTTGGAGTTTGGGGTTAGGGGTTAGGGGTTTGGGGTTTAGGGTTTCGGGTTTGGGGTTTAGGGTTTAGGGCCTAGAGAGGAAGGCCTCGTTTGGGTGGGGTCATGATTTATGCCCCGATCCTCCCTAAATACTCTCAATAGCCCCAAGCCCTTCCTACATCTGAACTGTGAGTCTGGAGCCAGCGAACAAAAAAGCCCCCGAAAGCTTAAAAAAACCATCGTTGGCAACAGCTTCTGCATTGTTTGAGGGCTTAAGGTGTCGGAAGCTGAGGGCTTCTAGAATATGCCCTGAATCATGTGAAGAATCCCACTAGGTTTTGGTGTATTCCTTAATTGATTAAGGGGTATTGGACTCTGGGCACAAGCTCTTGAATCTCGAGGTCGGATTGTTTGCAGGGTTTAGGGTTTAGGGTTTCGGGTTTAGGGTTTCGGGTTTAGGGGCTTTGAGATTTGGTGCTTTTGAAGGCCTTCGAGGGCATTTGAGGCTGCCTGCCACGCCGCCCCCGCCGTGGTCGCGGCTGCCCAGCTCGATGCCACAGTGACATGGAGCCTGCGACCCTAAACCCTAAACCCTAAACCCTAAACCCTTGAAGTCGCCCTCTAGAGATAGCTTCAGGGCTGAACCGGGTAGGTTTGGGGGCCCTAAAAAAACTCACCCTTTATGATCTATATGGCTTTGGTTCGTATGGGGAAAGTGTCGTAAGAAAGTACAAAAGATGCTCAAACCTACGCCTTTGAGGGCAGTGCTCCCAAACGGGTTTCGTGTTCGGGGTCGCTGAGTTCCGGGTCTCACTCACCGCACCATCTCCTGCATGCGGGGCTTCAGAGCTAAAGGGTCTCGCTCCGGGTGTGCCCCAGCGGCACCGACGGTGGGAACCTGAACCCTGACCCCCCCCCCCCGCCCACCCACCCAAAATCAACTCCCTGGCAAGGAAGGCCCAGGTTTGCAAAAATTTTGAAACAACAAGGAAAATCCCTAAATTGCCCGTACAAGGAGGATTATTTTGTATTTTTGGGGGCGATTCTTGAGTAATTCGCAGGTTATAAGCTTGGAGATGCCACCGACAAGGGGAGCTTTCGTTGGTGGCCGGGCCTCTGCAGCAAAGTCGGCTCACGCCCTAGGGCCTTGCGAAAGTACCTTGCTGCAAGACCCCCCCCCCCCGGGTCCCACCGAAAGCGTAGTATTATTCCCTTCGGGTCCCTTTCTAATTCTACTGTAAAAACCTCCAAAACCCGTTCGAACTCTTAAGGCCCCTATATTAAGCCGCAACCCTTAAACTCTCCAAGCCCCAAGTCGCGCTAACACCAAACAAACAACGGGGTGGAGTCTCCGACTCTCACCGAAGCCCCGAAGATCCCCAACACCCGTAGCTGGCACAGGCCCCGAAACGCTGTTTATGGCGGAAGCCTGGACTCTGCATGGTTTCAGTAATTTACGTTGAGGGTCTTGGGGGTACTGGGCTCCTAAAACCCGAAAAAATCTCATACCGTCCTAGTCATAGCTCTGCAAAGCAACTTTGAGCTTCCCGCCCTAAACCCTCAACCCTCAACCCTCAACCCTCAACCCTAAACCCTAAACCCTAAACCCTAAACCCTAAACCCTAAACCCTAAACCCTAAACCCTAAACCCTAAACCCTAAACCCTAAACCCTCCGAGCTCTCAACAAGGGCTACTGGGCTTAGGAGTTTGGGTTGCAGGGCACAGCCACAGGGATGAAGGGATATGAGACTCCATCCATTAAAACCTGCCTGAACCTTCAAATTGCTTAAGAACCCCCCAACAACATATTCTGCCTTACTAAGGGTAATATAGGGAGTATTGTTTTGTTCTTTTGGGGTTCTTAAGCAAATAGTAGGAACCTGTCTGTTCTAAGCTTCAAGCAGGGCAGAGGTACCCCATCGCCGCCTCCTGTTGTGGAGGGCGTGGACACCGACACGACCAGCACCAGAAACATCGACCGCCAGCACAAGATTAACACACCACGAGTCAAGAACCCGCAAGATCGTGTAAGTGACAGAGGACCGCACCACTAGCAAAGGAGCGTGAGGCTGGTCTTAAAGCACCCCAGAACGAAAGCCCGAACGTAAACCTGAAAGAAGCCGCGCTAAACCGCTAAACTCCGGCAAACCCTCAACCCTAAAATCCCCAAGCATCCCCAACAGCAAACCCCGAAATCCCTGAGCACCTTAGAAAATGCTGTGAAGCCATCCTACGAAAACAAAAGCCACACAGCGTACTAGTTCCCTCGACACTGACGCACATACAACCATGCCAGCATGTGGAAATCTGAGGCCCTGCACATCCCTACACATCCCTGCACCCTTCACCTCAACCCTACCCTGGGAACCACATGAACCCTAAAATTGGGACCATATGCCCTGTACTACTAGGATCCTTATTAAGGTACATGAACCATAAACCCTTTTGGGGTTCATTTAGTCCCCAACATAAACCCTGCGTTACCCTAAACCCTATAAACCCTATAAACCCTATAAACCCTATAAACCCTATAAACCCTATAAACCCTATAAACCCCATAAACCCTATAAACCCTATAAACCCTATAAACCCTATAAACCCTATAAACCCTAGAAACCGTAGAAACCGTAGAAACCCTAGAAACCCTAGAAACCCTAGAAACCCTAGAAACCCCTAAAAACCCTAAAACCCCTAAAAACCCTAAAAACCCTAAAAACCCTAAAAACCCTAAAAACCCTAAAAACCCTAAAAACCCTAAAAACCCTATAAACCCTAAAAACCCTAAAAACCCTAAAAACCCTAAAAACCCTAAAAACCCTAAAAACCCTAAAAACCCTAAAAACCCTAAAAACCCTAAAAACCCTAAACCCTAACCCTCAACCCAGAGAATGCAGGGCTTCCGGATTTGGGAGGGCTCTCCCTAGCCTCGACGAAGACTCGCAGGCGCTTGGCGGCGGCAGCTGTGGGGCCAGCAGCCTCAGGGGAGCTAAACCCCAAACCCCAAACCCTAAACCCTAAACCCAAAACCCCAAACCCTAAACCCCAAACCATAGGGCTTTTCGAAGGCTTGTGAAGGCTTTGCGGCTCCCGATTCTACGGCGTGCGCAAGCACGAGGCTCTCAACGGAAACTTGCGATGCTGATGAGCAAGCCTCGCTCGTCCACAACCCTAAACCCTAAACCCTAAACCCTAAACCCCTCTTTCTTATATATATTTAAACCCTATAGTCCTTCGTGGCTAAGGGTCATTTCTTCGTGGCTAAGGGTCATTTCTTCGTGGCTAAGGGTCATTTCTTCGTGGCTAAGGGTCATTTCTTCGTGGCTAAGGGTAATTTCTTCGTGGCTAAGGGTAATTTCTTCGCTAAGGGTAATTTTTTCGTCGCTAAGGGCAATTTCTTGGTCGCTAAGGGCCATTTCTTCGTGGCTAAGGGTAATTTCTTCGTGGCTAAGGGTAATTTCCTTCGTGGCTAAGGGTAATTTCCTTCGTGGCTAAGGGTAATTTCCTTCGTGGCTAAGGGTAATTTCTTCGTGGCTAAGGGTAATTTCTTCGTGGCTAAGGGTAATTTTTTCGTGGCTAAGGGTAATTTCTTCGTGGCTAAGGGTAATTTCTTCGTGGCTAAGGGTAATTTCTTCGTGGCTAAGGGTAATTTTCTTCGTGGCTAAGGGTAATTTCCTTCGTGGCTAAGGGTAATTTCTTCGTGGCTAAGGGTAATTTCTTCGTGGCTAAGGGTAATTTCTTCGTGGCTAAGGGTAATTTCTTCGTGGCTAAGGGTAATTTCTTCGTGGCTAAGGGTAATTTCCTTCCTGCCATCCCACCCCCCCCCCCCCCCCCCCCCCCCCCCCCCCCCCCCCCCCCCCCCCCCCCCCCCCCCCCCCCCCCCCCCCCCCCCCCCCCCCCCACCCCCCACTTCCCCTTCATGGCACCTTCCCGGCCCCCCCCCCCCCCCCCCCCCCCCCCCCCCCCCCCACCCCCCCCCCACCCCCCCCCCCCCCCCCCCCCACCCCCCCCCACCCCCCCCCCCCCCCCCCCCCCCACCCCCCGCCCCCCCACCCGCACCCAGCCCCCCTTCCCCCCCCACCCCACCCCCCCACCCCCCCCCAAACCAAAACCGACGGTTTCAGGATTTCTTGTCCCGCCCCTCCATTGGGGGCCGATGAAATGGTTCGTGGGTAGGATGGTCCATGACGGAGTGAGCTTGGAGGACAGGGCTTGCTGATAAGAAATGTAAACTTTTTATTTTCTTAATGTTTTGGGATTCTCTGGGTGGGTGGGTTTTTTTTCCGTTGCCTACACACACTGCTGGCCTAGTAAATGCTCGAACTTGAGATGCTGAACCCTAAACCCTAAACCCTAAACCCTAAACCCTAAACCCTAAACCCTAAACCCTAAACCGCAACTCCTCAACCCCAAGCCCAAGCCCTGCAGTTCACTAAAGCCACAAACCTAACCCTGGCAGACTTTCACTGTTCAAAAGGGGCTCCACTACCCAGATCTTCCAAAACCCCTTAAATAAGGTATATGCCCTAATTCATGATGAGGATCCTTAGTATAAATTAGGGTATAGTCCTTAAGGGTTTCGGAAAATCCTAAACCCTAGACCCTAGACCCTAAACCCTAAACCCTAAACCCTAAACCGTAAACCCTAAAGTAACATGACCGTCTCCCCTCAATGTGCGGCCCGGGAGCGGACGTCAGGTGCTCCAGGAAGTCGCTGCCTCAGAAATTCAGCTCCAAGCCGTGGTTGAAGGTCTGTCGTTTAGGGTTTAGGGTTTAGGGTTTGGGGTTTGGGGTTTAGGGTTTAGGGTTTAGGGTTTAGGGTTTAGGGTTTAGGGCAAAGGAAGGACCCTGCAGAAGCCGCAGGTGACTTAGAGCTCTCAGCGGCTCATTGCTCCAAATGGAGCAACTCGCAACCCTGAGCTTCTCTCAGCTTTAGCCACATAGTGGGGCGGAGATGAGAGCCCACTCGGGTTTGCTTTTGGATCAAAGGACGCCCTTTCTTCCTTTCAGGTTCCCACAAGATGCCGATTAAACTTTCTTTTTTTGTTTGGGGGGGGGCGGGGGGGAGGGGGGGGGTCCAGCCAATGCCTCCATTTAGTTTGGTCCATGGCTGCCCCGCCACCCAACGTCCTTCTTCAAAGGCAAGCCAGCGTCCCCATCAAGCAGAAGGCATAGCAAAAGAAAGCGCTCTGTACTCGGCCAAAAGAAAGGACCCAAAACCCCAAAGCAAGTAGCCCTAAACCCTAAACAGTACCCCCTGCCTCCCCCCGTTCAAAAAAAAACGGAACCCAAGACCCCAAAGCAAGGTCATCAAGCACGGACACCCACCCCCCACCCCCTCAATTGTCAAATGTCAATGAAACCCGAGCATTGGCATATTGCGATGGTGCCTGGGTAGCGCCAAGTTCCACTGGCACCATGCCTGGGCTTTTAAACCCGAAACCCTAAACACTAACCCCAAAGCCCTAAGCCCGAAACCGCTCAAGGTGGCTTAAGGCCCCGAGTTCGACTGAGGACGTCTGGAACCCCAGGGCTTAACAGGGCTTAATTAGGGTTTTGCCGGGGTTCAGAGGCCCTCTTGGCAGATGTGAGGAGGGTTTCTGCGCGTGGGTGGGGTCCGGGGCTTGTGCTCTTTTGTCAACTATTTTTAAAAGTTTGGGGCTACGGCCCGCAAGTTACGCGTGGTGCTGTGGAGGGCTATTGAGCTCCCAGCCCAAATCCCAAACTCTTCTGGTAGATCACCAGCACCTCAACCCCTAAACCCCAAACCCTAAACCCTGAACCCTAAACCCTAACCCCTAAACCCTAAACCCTAAACCCTAAACCCTCAGCGACGGTCAGGTACCCTGACATTCAGCGGCCTGGATCTTCGAATCGCAGCCCCCTCAACACAATCCTTTCTGCCCCAAAAGCACTGCCCTACACACCCGGAACGCCAATCTCCGCACCGTGCCACTAAAGGCTCGTGCTTCCCTAAAAACCAACCACGAAAAACTTGCGAAGCTCTTAAACCGCTCGCCGCTTGAATGAAGCCAAGGCTACTTGGTAGCCTGCTGCCGCACGTGCTCCGCCAGCAGCCAGTGCCACCTCCAAAGGTTTCAAAGAGCTTGGTTTCAGGGTTTTCACTTGAGGTTTTGGGATTGACGCATGCTAGGCTGACGGCACCCTAAGCAGCTCGACCAGGAAGTAGCCGGTGGCATCCAGCAATTTCGCAGGTCTTGATGATGCGCGAAAAACTGCTTAAGGCAGTCCTTCGAGAGCAACGCCAAGGCTGCTCAAACCGCCAGCTGACTGGAGAACTCTGCTTAGGGTTTAGGGTTTAGGGTTTAGAGTTTAGGGATTAGGGTTTAGGGTATGGACCAGGGGGGGGGGGGGGGGGGGAGGGGGACTCAGGGTTTGGGGCATCAGCAAGCCATCTAGAACCCAAATTGACTATTCCAACAATGCCCAGGCACAGACAAGCGACACAAGTTAATCTGGGGGGGGGGGGGGGCTTCCCTAAACCCTAAACCCTAAACCCTAAACCCTAAACCCTAAACCCTAAACCCTAAACCCTAAACCCTAAACCCTAAACCCTAAACCCTAAACCTATATAAGAAGATGATGTCAATTTTTTTCTAGGACCATATGTTAAACCCATGGCGAGTGTGGCGAGTGCCTCTGATCCTTCTCCGGGTCGCTGGGCACCACCAGCACAGCCTGGAGCAGGCACCCCCGACCCCCCACCCCAAACCGTAAACCCCAAACGCCAAACCCCAAACCCCAAACCCCAAACCCCAAACCCCAAACCCCAAACCCTAAACCCTACACACACAAACAAAGAACAAATCATATCCTCCGACAACTCTCAAGCCCAAGCTTGCAAGCCTTAGATTCCAAGCTGTACGGTTTTCAGTCGTTTCTCTTTGTACCCTAAACCCTAAACCCTAACCCCTAAACCCTAAACCCTAAACCCTAAACTTTCGTTCCTCTGCAAGAGGAGAGGAAGAAACAGAATCCGTCGGGTCCTGCGCACTAAGCGCTGACCCGCAAGTCTGAATCTTCGACCGTGTCCCGACAACGACATATTTGAATTCGCGACCCACAAAAACACCAAGAGTCCTCTTGTATTGGTGAGAGGGCTTAGGGTTTTAGGGTTTAGCGGGTTTGGGTTCTTGGTTGAGGATTGAGTAAACTCTTCAACTAAACCCTAAACCCTAAACCCTAAACCCTAAACCCTAAACCCTAAACCCTAAACCCTAAACCCTAAACCCTAAACCCTAAACCCTAAACCCTAAACCCTAAACCTGAACTCTTCAACACAATTGGTGGCCACCGAGGTCCCAGGCCGGCGTGGGCCAAAGTTGCTGCGGGCCGAGCCCCTGCGGCTTCCCGTGTTCACCCGCACAGCCCTCAACTTTAGGGGGCTTAGGGTTTAGGGTGTTTAGGGTTTAGGGTTTAGGGTGTTTAGGGTTTAGGGTTCAGGGTTGGATTCAGGGGATATCTTTTCAGGGCCTGAATTGTAGGGCTGGGCGTTGTCCGCGGGTGCGTGAGGCTTTGCCCTAAACCCTAAACCCTAAAGCCTCAACCCTAAATCCTGAACCCTAAACCCAAAACCCCCCAAACCTCAAAGCCTTGCTATTTAGCGAAGTTCGGCCCCGGCCTGCGGGTGAGCGGTTGGCGCGCTGCTTGCCGAGACCTTCGGGTGGAGAGGTGCTGGCTTAAGCTTTACCTTAGGGTTTAGGGTTTAGGGTTTAGGGTTTAGGGTTTAGGGTTTAGGGTTTAGGGTTTAGGGTTTAGGGTTTAGTTCAAGGACGAGCTTCAAAATAAGAGACTACCTGGTAGCCCAGCCACCACATTACAACAAGGGCACCCATGTTTGGGCTGGTCAGTTTCTAAGGGAACCTTGAACCAAGAAAGGGACGAGGGTACAGTAGACCAGTGATAAGGGTTTCTGAATGGGCCTAAGCACGAGCCGAGCACAGCAACACCGCAAAAAGCAGAGCACCTTGAACGACCACGAAGCCCCTAGCAAAGCCTAGTCAAGCCCCCAAGAAGCAGTAACAAGCTCCCTAGTGAACCCTCACAAACCCTAAGATTTAGGGTTTAGGGGTTAGGGTTTAGGGTTTAGGAACCCGGAACCAGCATTTCAATTCTTGGGGTGCGGCCTCTAGGCTCCAGGCCACCAGTAGTAGCACCAGTAGTGCCCGGGCCATCCATTTGGGCGCTACATGGCGCTGCCCGCGTGCTCTGTGTTGGAGGGGTTTGTTTTGGGGTGTCTCGGTGTGTTTTCGGTGTTTGGGTTCAGGGGCTCTGGGCCTTTCTCAAGGTTTTTGGGTTTTCAAGATTAAGAGCGATGTTGGGTTGAGCTTGCTTGCTGAGCAGTGTTAAGAAACATGCTGGGCTCCCTAAACCCTAAACCCCAAACCCCAAACCCTAAACCCCAAAGCCTTAATGAGGCTTTGTGAGCCAGGGCCCGCAAATCTGATACCAGGTTGCACATGGGTAGTTCTCTACATTGGGGTCCCTTTTTGGGATCCTTCGTTAAAGGGTGCCGCCTTATCAGCCTGTGCACCGGTGTAGGGTACAGGGTTTAGGGTTGAGGGTTGAGGGTTGAGGGTTGAGGGTTTAGGGTTTAGGGGCTTACAGGGAGTCTGAGACCGCGAAGCAATCCGCGAATGGCCAGGTTCCAAACACCTTAGACCTAAACCAACCCATCGCCAAGAAACCTTCAGTAAGCGGAGCCACGGTTTAGGGTTTAGGGTTCAGGGTTTAGGGTTTAGGGTTTAGGGTTTATGGGTTTAGGGTTTAGGGTTTAGGATTTAGGAGACCTGGACAAGAGAACATAAGCATCGCCAATACAAAGAAAACCTGGGGAGCCCCCCTAAACCAAGAGCCCGAAAGCCGAACCCCAAAACCCCGAAGCTAGAGACTTCCAGCAGCGTCACGAAGGCTTGGAATCGGCAAGTTGGACCACCAGACCCTGAAGACGCTTCAAGGCCTTCACAAAGCGGTGCACCCCCCGAGCCCCAGGTCGGGCGCCTCGACGGCCGAGCCGTGCAACGTGAGCTTCGCCAGTATCCGGGCGATGTTCGTCAGGAGCTGCAGGCAGGGATGCTTCCAAAGCACCCTGTCACAGCCACTTAGGCCCTCTCAAATGCTCCTGGTTCAGGGTTTAGGGTTCAGGGTTTAGGGTTTCCTCCACGACAATTAACGAGACCAGCCTCAGACCCTCGACCCCTTGACCCTAAAACACGTGGGTACAAGATCAGGAGGAAAACAATCAAAGACACAGCTGTCCGCTTTGAATTGTGGGATCTTCGCTTTTAGGCTGCTTTCAGGCCTCGAGAGTATATTCAGACAGCCACAGGATCCCCTCTGGCACTGAATCGATGCTGGAGCTGTGCCATCTGCCACATCCGTTGATCCGCCGTGTGACTTGGTCATCCTAGAACCTGAACTCCTAAATCCTAAGCCCTAAACCCTAAACATCCCTAAACCCAAAACCCTAAACCCCCTGCGCAGTGTGGGAGTACTGTGGAGCCCTGCAAACCCTCTACACTCCGTCGAAGCTCCCTACGTCGATGAAAGGCAGCGCATTGGCCCACTACGGAGAGCCATTCGGCACAGAGAGAGTTGAAGGGACATCTATGCCCCGAGTCGCTTGCTTCAGGTGGGTGTGGTTCCCGTTGGGTTTAGGGTCTAGGGTTTAGGGTTTAGGGTTTAGGGGGTTTAGGGTGTAGGGTTCAGGGTTTAGGGTTTCGGGGTCTTGTTCCAAACGAACCTCGAAGCCCCGAAGCCAGGCATGCCTCTAATCCTGTCAGAAGAAGCGTGTCTTTTTTCCACAGGTTGAGGAATCTCCTCACTCTGAACCCGGCCAAAAGGCACTGGAACTCTTCGTCTGCCAAAACCTCCTTCGGGTTGTGGAGGGCGTAGGGCTCAGCGCACAATCCGTCAAGTTGAGGCCAACATCCACCCGGAATTCAAGGCCTATACCCTAAACCCTAAACCCTAAACCCTGAACCCTAAACCCTAAACCCTAAACCCTAAGCCCCCACCTCCACGTGGTTGGGAAAAATCTCCATCAGCCTCGGGGCCGCTTTCTCGGATTGGCTTCGGGGCGTTTCAGCGACACCTTGGGGTGTAGGGTTTAGGGTTTAGGGTTTAGGGCTTCGGGTTTAGGGTTTAGGGTTTAGGGTTTAGGGTTTAGGGTTTAGGGTTTAGGGTTTAGGGTTTAGGGTTTAGGGCTGTAACATATGCATGCTGTCTTCGTTCCCCTCGTTTTTGGTGGACCAACCGTTTTCATACTTCAGGAAGACGCACGAATTCCATGGAACATGTTCGTGAAAACCCCCCTGGGCTTCGTTCACTTCGTAACGAAGATCCGCTGCAAGAGCATTCCCAGAGCACGCCTATAGATGACCCCAGGGTTTAGGGTTTAGGAAAAGCACTGCAGGACTACTTCGCAAGCAATCAGCCTATGGGCCCAAAAGCGACGATGGTTCTGCAACGCCGCGAAACGCAGGAAAGAATGCGCCTGCCACGTTTTCGGGACACAGAGCGATGCAAGCCTCAAAAAGCCCACGGGATCTAGGCGGGAGCACAAGATTTCGAGTACGGAACGTGCGCGGAACCTGCGCAAGATCGTGAGTCGGCCCTTTTGCAAGGCCAAAAGCATGCTATTTGCGATGAAGACCAAGCCTTTAACCGCTAAAACCCTACGCACTAAGCCCTAAAACCCGAACAATTGCACACACACTCACACACAAATTGGATAATACCCTAAAACCCTAAACCTTAACAGCCTAAACCGGGGCCGGGAACCCTAAACCCTAAACCCTTAACCTCAACCACAACGCCCTAAGGCCTACACCCTAAAAGCCCTAAAGCCCACACCCCCAAGAGACAAGCCCCTCGAGAAATCTTCTCAGGAAGCCAGTCTGCATCCCTAATCCTCCTAAACCCCATAGCCCAAAGCCGGGCAACCTCGTCAAAGCGCTCAGGCGCTCGGTGGCGAGGAACTGCTTGTACTGGTTGCTCGCAAGGTTCCTGTTTGTAGGCGCTTCTACGTAAACCCGAGCGCCTAAACTCGCTCTGAGTCGTCAGAAACACTACCACTCTAAAGCCCGGCTCCATATCCCTAAGCTCCGCAAGGAAGGACATCCATGAAGGCTGTCTTGGAATTCAGCATGCAAGGATGCCCCGTGAGATTTTCAACTGCCTTCCAACATGGAAGACGGATGAGACACTTCCCATGGACTTGCCAAACCAGTCCTCGTGGTTAAGAGCTCGTGTTTTCCGCAACCTTTAACTGAAGCCGAACTCGTGGCGTTCGCGAGGCTACAAAAGTGCCGAATGGGATGCTACTGGGCGTCCCAACGACTAGTGCTGCGACTGCTTGCAAAAGCGTGATGCCAAAAGACAGCTGCCCTAAACCCTAAACCCTAAACCCTAAACCCTAAACCCTAAACCCTAAACCCTAAACCCTAAACCCTAAACCCTAAACCCTAAACTGGTATTCAGTTGTGAGTTCCGGTCTGGCGGGAGTAGTAGGGGAACAGTTGCCCAGGCTAGCCCCCAGCCTTACCCCGTCGAGATGATCAACGGGCTGTTACCCTAAACCCTAAACCCTCAGCCCCTAAACCCTAAACCCTAAAAACTAAAAACTAAACCCTAAACCCTAAACCCTAAAAACTAAACCCTAAACCCTAAACCCATCATCCCTTTGCCTTGCTCAAAAGCACTGGACCACATTCCGGAAACCCTTCGAGTCGACTTCCTTGAGTTTCCGAAAGCCCTGAGCCCCTAAGCCCGGCCAAAACCCCCCAAGAGCCCAAACAGACCCGAGATTCCTAAACCCTAAACCCTAAACCCTAAGCCCTAAGCCCTAAACCCTAAACCCCAAGCAATCAGTAGAAGAGGGATTCCCTCGACTTTGGTCTCAAAGGCACCAAGTCGCTCGACTCCAACGAAGCCCTCAATTCACGCCCTCCCCTCGGGGGTTTAGGGTTTAGGGTTTAGGGTTTAGGGTTTAGGGTTTAGGGTTTAGGGTGTAGGGTTTAGGGTGTAAGGGTTAGGGTTTAGGTCAAAACCTGTTGACCCTGAAAACCAGGGAATCGCTGGAGGCCACGTCCGAGAAAAAAAACCCAAAACCCTACAACCCTATTAACCCTAAACATAGCACCCCCAATCCCCAAAAGCCCCGAAAGCCCTACAAGCCCCAAAACCCCCAAAAGCCCCAAAAGCCACAAAAGCCCCAAAAGCCCCAAAACCCCAAAAGCCCCAACACCCATAAAAACCCAAAACCCGAAATCCCCAAATCCCAAAACCCCTAACCCCTAACCCCTGAACCCTAAACCCTAAACCCTAAACCCTAAACCCTAAACCCTAAACCCTAAACCCTAAACCCTAACCCCAAAAACCTCGAAGCCCCTGAAGACCCTTGGCATGGAACCTCAGTGCAGCAGTCACCTGGATCAGCAGCGGAGCCTCTTTGGCGCCGCCCTTGGTGGTGTGGGGTTTAGGGTTTAGGGTTTAGGGTTTAGGGTTTAGGGTTTAGGGTTTAGGGTTTAGGGTTTAGGGTTTAGGGTTTAGGGTTTAGGGTTTAGGGTTTAGGGTCCAGGGTTTAGGGTCCAGGGTTTAAGGTTCGGGAGTTTCAGGGGGAGGGAATGGGTGCAGGGCATTACGGCGTTGGGCTCATTGCTTAAGTTTGCGCTCACTTGAAGGGCGGCACTGTTACTTTGCCCTTGTGCACACGCCATCCCGATGAGCGACAGATCTGTGAGATCAACACAGGCAAGGGTCCCCTTGCATACTGGGCAGTTTAGGGTTTAGGGTTTAGGGTTTCGGGTTTAGGGTTTAGGGTTTCGGGTTTAGGGTTCGGGACTGTAAGGTGGCTGCGTGGCAGTTCGTGGTGGCTGGGAGGACACATTCCTTGAAGCATCTAGCGCTCAAAGTACCGTTTGGGGTCCGGAACTGGGGCTCAGGGGCCGGGGAGTTGGGTAAACGCAGCTTAGGCAATCTCAAGCACCCGCACTTGGGATTGACTTACTTGCTGGCAAGCCCCAAGAAAAAGCACTCCCAATGCCGAGAAGCCAATTTGTTGAGGCTTCAGGGTTCCTGAGAGCTTTACAGGGTTCAGGGTTCAGGGTTTAGGGTCTAGGGTCTAGGGTCTAGGGTTTAGGGTTTAGGGTTTAGGGTTTGGGGTTTGGGGTTTAGGGTTTAGGGTTTAGGGTGGGTTTAGGGTTTAGGGTTTAGGGCCGAACTGATCTGGGCTCTCCCACCGCTAGCTTGCTGGCATCCATGAGCTTGAACCTCGGGGGGACGATGTGTTGGGCTCCCGGGCTTCTATGAGCCCACAACCCCCCCCCAAAAAGCACCCACAACCTCCCCCCAAACCCTAAACCCTAAACCCTAAACCCTACACCCTACACCCTAAACCCTAAACCCTAAACCCTAAACCCCAAAACAAAAACTCAAGAAAGTTTACCGACCAGGACCCGGACAGCGAGCCCACGGCGCCGCGCTGGGCCAGGAACCTGACTCAGAGAGCGTCGAAGGGCATCGTGCGTACTGCGGGCAAAGTCTAGGGTCCCAAGGTTTAGGGTTTAGGGTTTAGGGTTTAGGGTTTAGGGTATAGGGTTTAGGGTTTAGGGTTTAAGGTTTAGGGTGGGCCCTTAATTTGGGTCGCTTGCTATATGGGCTCAGGGTTTTGAGAGTTTGGTGCTTGGGAGGGGGGTTATCACTGGCTTGCGTGGGGCTTCGGAAGGGTTCAGGGCTTAACTCGGACTTTCGGCCGGGGTTACGGGCTTGCGCTCAGAAACCAGGATTGAGGGTTTAGGGTTTAGGGTTTCGGGAGCTTGACAGCATCTCAGAAAAGAGGCTTGAGGGTAGGCAGAAGGTACACAGGACAAAGCCCCCTGATCAACAATCCCGACTGCGCATCGATTGCGTAAGCACCCAGTCGCCGACACCAAAGGCGCTCCCAAAACTTTCAACCAATAGCAAGACCTAAACCTTGAACCCTGAACCCTGAACCCTAAACCGCCTATACCCTAAAACCCTAAAACCCTAAAACCCTAAAACCCTAAAACCCTAAAACCCTAAAACCCTAAAACCCTAAAACCCTAAAACCCTAAAACCCTAAAACCCTAAAACCCTAAAACCCTAAAACCCTAAAACCCTAAACCCCAAACCAGGTACCCCGTGGAGCACAAAAAACAAAACGAGCACAAACCGCAGCTTGGCAACTTCTGGTTTGCGGAGTCGTTGGAAACGTTCTTGAGGATCCCAGCGATGTAGACCTTAAGGGCTTCGGTCGGTTTAGGGTTTAGGGTTTGGGGTTTAGGGTTTAGGGTTTCGGGTTTAGGGTTTGGGGTTTGGGGTTTAGGGTTTAGGGCTTAGGGTGTAGGGTTTAGGGTTCAGGGCTCAGGGTTTAAGGTTTCTGGCTACGGGTTTGGCCTCTACCCCCCACCGCCTCAAAGCCTCCTAAGGCCCGGGTTTGGGCTTTGAATGGCCGCTCTCAGCTCAAAATCTCCCGAGCTGAAAGATGCTCTATCCCCTCCAACCCTATCTCAATTGTGTGCCGAAGTTTGTTACTGGTAGCACCGCCTCTTGTAACATCCTAAACTGCTGGACCATCAGGGCTGCACCCTGCTGTCACACATCTCAGCCGTCACGTGTGGTGCGAGCTTGGCCCGCACCTCAGCCCATACGAAACGCACTACGCCTCATTGGCTAACCCCCTAAACCCTAAACCCTACAAACCCCAGCAACCCTGTAAAGCCTATAAACACTATAAACCCGACAAACCCTAAAAACCCCATACACCCCATAAACCCTACAAACCCTACAAACCCCACAAACTCAATAAACCCCATAATCGCTGTGAAAGTGAAACCCTGTAAACCCCATAAACCCCTAGCTGCCCTGAACTCCTGTGCTGCAGACTCGGAGATCCGCAGCGGAGCACGCGGGATTCTCCGACTCCAGGACCTACGAGGGCGGGAACGGGATGGAGAGCTTAACCCTAAACCCTGAACCGTAAACCCTAAATCCTAAACCCTAGCCCTGTGGGGGTTTAGGGTTTAGGGTTTAGGGTTTAGGGTTTAGGGTTTAGGGTTTAGGGTTTAGGGTAAAGATTATTCCTCTAGGGGTTCAGAGATTAAGGGTGCCTTGGTATGTTTCGGCAATTTAGAGAGAAAGGGCACCCGAAGCCTGGCAAAAACCTTGTTGCCCTCTTTGAGATTTCGAAAGGTGCTGTGTTTCAGAACTTTCCTAAACCCTAAACCCTAAACCCCAAACCCTGGGGGTCTCAAGTTGAACTGTTGCAGCCACAGCCCAAGCCCCAGATCTGTTGGGATGCCTAGCATGCCCGAAAGCCGCAAGCCATTTGGTCCCGTTGCTGTGGCGGCTCTTCCGGACGCAAAAGTCTCAGCCAGTTACACAACAAGGACAGGCTCCTCCGGAATGTCACACTGATGACCATCGTTCCTTCCGAAGCACGTCAGAAAACCATCCTTCCTGACCGCACAAGTGTGGTGTTCGCCGGTGGAGACGGCCAGAACCGGCCCCAAGTCACCCGGCACATCGCACTGACCGAATTGGTTGAGCCCAAAGCACACCAGGCGACCGTCTGTTTTCACTGCACAGGTGTGTGATCCGCGGGCGGAGATTGTCAGAACTGGCCCTAAGTCATCCGGCACATTGCACTGGCCATCTCCGTTGTCTCCAAAGCAAACCAGGCAACCGTCGGTTTTCAGTGCACATGTGTGGCTGGAACCTGCAGAGACCGCCAGAACTGGCCCCAAGTCGTCTGGCACGTCGCATTGACCAAATTTGTTGAGCCCGAAGCAGACCAGACGACCGTCCGCTCTCACTGCACAGGTGTGAAACCCGCCTGCGGACATTGCGAGAACTGGTCCCAAGCCATCCGGCACGTCACACTGGCCAGCGTGCTTAAATCCAAAGCACACCAGGTCACCGTGCTCTTTCAGCACGCAGGTGTGATATCCGCCTGTTGAGACTGCCGCAACTGGCCCCAGGTCATCTGGCACATCGCGGCTGTTCGAGGTATCTCCGAAGCAAACCAGGCGACCATCGTCTTTCACTGCGCATGTGCAAAGTCGGCCAGCCGAAGCTGCCCGAACTGGGCCCAAGGCTTCCGGCACATCACACTCACCATGTCGGTTGTAGCCAAAGCACACAAGAAGACCATCCGTTCTCACTGCACAGGTGTGAAGTGTGCCTGCTGATATCCTGCTGGCAACCTCCAAGTCGTGCATCGAGCAATTCCTGCCAAGGCTCGATCGACATCGAAACACGCCCCTGTCCCTCTTCGCTGTCCATCGGTGGAACAAGCCCATAAAAACTGATTGCGATGGCGCTCCTGCTGCCAAACTCGTCGGTGGGAGTATTCGCAGCTTGCTGGCACCCAGTCCCAGGCGGTGTGTTCGTGCGGGCTGGCTGCGAGAAGCCCATAGAGAAAACATCTCTATGTTAGTTACTATACTCGCCTTAGAACCTGAATACTATCTAAAAATATTCCCTTGGGCTTTATACAAATAAAATGAAACAATCAGGGGGCTATAGATTAAGTCTTAAACTTATAAGGTCCCGCCAGGATGAGAACGTGTCTGGATGCGCACACATTTCATCTACGTCGGAAGCATACAGATCCAAACAAGGCTCAGGGCTTGGAGATCAAGTCCAGTCTTCAAGTCACGCGCGTGCCGCGTGCGGAACACTCTAAACCCCCTGAAGCATCGCGGTTTAGGCTTTAGGGTTTAGGGTTTAGGGTTTAGGGTTTAAGGTTTAAGGTTTAGGGTTTAGGGTTTAGGGTTTAGGGTTTAGGGTTTAGGGTTTAGGGTTTAGGGTCCGAAAGCCCTTTAGGGTTGTGCCTTAGGACTTATGAAAGTTTTTTGGGTTACCCTAAGCACTTGTGTGTTTGAGGGTTGAACCTGCCAAGATGCGAAGCCCACGCCCTGACGGAGTATCCCAAACCCTGAAGTTGTTGAGGAGTCAGGGGGTCTTGGGCTCAGGTTTTAAGAATTTAGGGGCTCAGGGCTCTCGAGCTTTGGATTGAGGATGGATTCTTCTACCATCCCGCCTCGGCCTAAACCAGAAACCTGCGTTGAGGACTGAGGCGTGGTTAGAGGCATTTAAGGGGCTCATTGAGCTTAGGATCCCAAAGCCAGGAGCTCGAGAGCATGCTCTAAAACCTCAAACCCTCAGAAGCCCGAGGAGGAACCTAGGAATAAAAAGGGCGCCCTTTTTGGCTTTAAGGGGGTTATAAGGGAAGCCCAACCATAAAAAGAAAAGGAAATAAGGGCCCAAGCCGGGTCACAGTAGCCCTAAACCCTAAACCCTAAACCCTAAACCCTAAACCCTAAACCCTAAACCCTAAACCCTAAACCCTAAACCCTAAACCCTATCTCCGACAGCTCCCACGGATGAGCCTCCAGGATGGGCTCGATGAGCTTCTCAGTCAAGAACTCGGCGTCGTAGCCTTCCTGCCAGATTTCGTAGGAGTTTAGGGTTTAGGGTTTAGGGTTTAGGGTTTAGGGTTTAGGGTGTAGGGTTTAGGGTTTAGGGTTTAGGGCTGCCCCCAAATCCGGCTGCCGTCGCAGCGCCTTCCCTTGCCACAAACAGCCAAACCGACACCCCCCCCCACGAAAGTCTCCCAGACCATGAACTCTTCTAAGCCTCGGTCCCCTCATACCGAACAGAACCCGTTTGGGTACTTCTTTGAGTTGGCCCTTAAAGTGTCGACTTCTGCCCCGAATCAGTCCTCAAACGGCCTGGAGAAGCGGAGAGGAACTCTTCCAAAGAACCCCGACAACCCCCACATCATGGCGCTGCACGGGCCTTCTGAGAGTACTTGAAGAGCACCTGTTCAAGCGCATTGGGGGGGGGGGGTTTGGGGCTTTAGGTTTTAGGGTTTAGGGGGAATTCTGCTCGGATGCGGGAACTGAAGATGTTTACGCGCCCAACTCACCTGCAACTTAAAGCCCAAAAAGTCCTGCAAGGTGTAGGATGTTGGGCACGTCAGGGGGATCCCGGTTCGGGTAGAAGCTCAGAGTTGCGTGGTTGACGATGAATTCCCCTCAACCCCTCACCCTCGATCCCAAGCCAAGGCAGATGTGCTGTCTCTCAGCGACACCCTAAACCCTAAACCCTAAACCCGAAACCGAAAACCCAAACCCCTAAAGAGAGGCGTGACTTCTTCGAGTCCCTGCTGGCGGACGTACTCCAAACTGCGTTGCCGCCCTAAGGGCGCCTTGATCATGTTTTGCGTTCATTTAGGGTTTAGGGTTTAGGGTTTAGGGCTTAGGGTTTAGGGTTTACTTTTGAGTGCTTCACGGAATACAGAGTGCTCATGATGTCGCATTCAAGGGTTCTCAAATCCAAAAGTTGCGCAGAAGCAACTCCAATTTCCACTTCAAAGCGAAGATGTTCAGACAGACAACCTTTCACCCTTAAGCAACCAACTTGCTTGCCAAACGTTCGCCCCCCCCCCCCCCCCCCCAACAGCTCAACAAGCACATCTTTCCCCACTACTTTCATCAAAGACCAAGTGAACTTAAAACGGTATATGGCTCATATACCTTAATAGGACATATTGGGTGTAGGGTATATGACCCAATTTTGGTGTGCATCTGGTCCCTATGGTAAAGCAAATTTCATGGCAAGGAAAGTTGCAAACACTGATCTCAAGGTGCTCCAACAACGCATATAGAGTGGCTTTAGCTTGGGATGTTCGCCCTTTTTCCAACAGTCTGTAATAGGGATTCTAGTCACCCCCTACTATATCCCCTATCAAGCAGTGTAGTATGGGGGGACATCCCAAGCTTTAGAGTTTTCGGGTTTAGCATCGGCCTTAGGGCCCGCTTCAGTGTCCAGGGTGCCACTTGGAGGGTTTAGGGGTTTAGGGCAGGGGGTTAAGGGTTTAGGGGTTTAGGGGTTTAGGGGGTTTAGGGGTTTTGAGGTTTAGGGGTTTAGGGGTTTAGGGGGTTTAGGAGGGTTTAGGGGTTTAGGGGTTTAGGGGTTTAGGGGTTTAGGGGTTTAGGGGTTTAGGGGGGTTTAGGGGGTAGGGGGGTTTTAGGGGGGTTTAGGGGGTTTAGGGGTTTAGGGGTTTAGGGTTTAGGGCTTGGGGGAATTTGAGGGCAGAGGCGCCTGGGCGATGTTCTGGTAGGCGGCTTGCACACCAGAGACGGAAACGCCCTGAGTCGCCACCTGATTCCGCTCTCTCAGAACATGAATCCCCACAAGCCTTGACAAGCAAGAATCCTGAAAAAAACTAGAGCTTTGGGGAGGGTGAGGTACCCACTCGCCGTACCCTGGCCTGTGGGAGGGGAGGTGCTTCTCAGCGCTCGTGGGCTTACTGCCACGGTTGCTTTCGGAAGGCCGGCCGCAGGGCGTGGGGGTTCAGGTCTGGGGACAGCTTGTGCCCCCTACGCCCTACGCCCCTCCCCCCCCCAAAAAAAATCCACACACACACACACACACAGACACACAGAGGCACACAGAGGCACACAGAGACACAGAGACACCGAGACGCAGAGACGCACAAAGACGCAGGGACACACTCACAGACACACACGGACACGCAGAGAGCGAGAGAGAGAGCCAATTCCGGCGGCCTCCAACGACAGCAAGGCCAGAGCACATCTGGCCAGCTTGAAGACGAGTTTCGACTCCTGCCCATCCGAAACCAAGCCCTCAAGCCCCCCAAAATCAACAAGGGCCCATGGTTTGGAGTTTGGGTTTAGCCCAAAACGCGAAACTTTCAGTCAACAATTCCAACTGGTTGCTTCGGCGATTTGTTGGCACGTCTTTCTTCTGTCAAGTCGCAAGCCCAACGTTCCAACAGTTTTTTTTCGAATTCGGATTGAAAGCAAACACCAAACCACCTAGCCGCATGTTTTGCTGCAGGCCCTATTCAAGACATGTAAAGCTTCCGGAGGCATTACTAAGCGTACTGAGGCCGTCTCCGAACCCAAGTCTGATCCTCTGAAACAAAACCTAGCACTCTCGGACGCAGAGGCGGCCACGATGTGATGCAGACGAACAATTTCTGCCCACGATGCTAGGTTGCCCAGAAACCTAGGATCAGAAAGGGTGCCCTTTTTTGCTTAAAGGGGTTTATAGGGGAACCTAGAGCCCCAAAAAAAGGGAATAAGGGCATTACTGGGCATCCTAGGATAACCGCGACGCCTACTTGCAACCCGAAAGCCGAAAGCCCCTTGTCGTGCCGGAGACGTCCTTGATGTCCTTCATGTCCATGAGGCCCATCACCTGCAAGCAAGCCGCAGCCCCTCGAAGAGACCACAATTCTGAGCAAAGCCTTGAAAACTCGGCGCAAAGCTTTGAAAATCCCTTGAAACTCGCACCTCGCGGAGGAGTCCTGGCGCCAGGGCTGTCTCTGTGCTCTTGCCAGCCTGTCCACCCCATGCGCGGGCTGGGTAAAGAGCGGACTTTGATAGGGAAAACTTACGAGGAAGGTCTAAATCTCGGTTGCCCAAGAAACCCGAAGACTCCACTGCTCCAAAAAGCCGAACCCCAGATTCTGCCACGGCTTCGAGCTTGGGGGGATGCGACGTGCGCTTAATAACACTTAGGGTAGTCAAGCTTAGGGTTTTTCGCGGGATTCAGACTCAGGGACTTGAGACTCGGCCCAGTTACAGGAAGGCCAAGTCAAGTTGGGTTAGGGCCTGGTAACCATGGTTCGACACACTCGATTCCCAGCCTTCATGTCCACTGCAAGGGTCCACGTTCGCTCGCAGAGCTCTGCCACAAAGTCCGTCTGCTTCCTCTTTTCCTTCAGAAGCACTTAGATGGCTGCAGCCGTTGACAAGAGCGTGCTCCGAAAAAGGCATGTATCAGCTAAAGTTTGCGACTCTCATCGGCTTTCGTGGGCTTTGTGTGTAGCTTGCCCGCTCTCGCTACCCGAAAGCCTCAGGGCCTGCGATAAGCCCAAGAATCATGAATTCCTTCTTTTTTGCAAGCATGGTTCACAGCTCGCTTTGGGAGGTGAGGCCCTAAACCCTAAACCCCATACCCTAAATCCGGAACCCTAAACCGCTGAAAAAAAAACAGGCGGGTGGGTCAACGAGTCACATCCAGAACAGAAGTGGTGTCTATTGCCGAGCTTAGGCATGTTAGG